ACTAACACACACACAAGAGAATCAAACTGTCTACTTTAATTTTCTTTTCTCATTTCTTGTTGATTTTTTTGTTTTAGCTTTTTTTTCCTTCTGTCCCGCCCGGTCACCGTTCCTTACTGTTCCCTCTCGCACTCAGACCCTCTCTGATCACACAGCCAAGAATTCCCCTTCACGCCCGCTCTGCTAGATACTAGACGTCCAACGAACTCTGTGACACGGCAGCTTTTCAGTCCAATGTCACAGAGCGAAAGCATACACACACACACACCAAATTTGTAAACAATTGTAAATCACTGCACCATCTTGTATTCATTAGGCTTTTACAGATATAAAGAAGGTCCCCTTTTTATATAGAGCATATAACGGCAGAAAACTGTGATTTTGCGTCATCCTGTCGATTGATTGGTTCAATTTGTCGGCCGTAAATAAGTCCAGTCCTGTGCAAGTGTCACGAGATTGCGATGACTATGGTATCATGTATTTAATCGGTCTTATGTTGTGCGACTAGGTAGAACACATGTCAGATGGGCCTTGATTGGAGATAATCGTAGATAATTCGGCTGAATTTTTCCGGATGCATCTCCAGGTTGTTAGTTGGGGGAATAGGTGAATCCTCTTCAGTAAATTAGCGGGTTCGGATTCTCAGACGTGATATTGAAGCACGCCGAGATTTTGCTCGGCTAATTACCCCGCTTCCTGTGAACACCACCGGAGCGTGTTGGCTACATCGTGAAGCGTTCAAGTATGACCGACCGATCACTTAATCCGGCCATTTCCATGTGCTTCTAATGCTAGTATAATTTGAAGTTCCTGCATCGTAACAACCTATCCAAAAGGTGTATACACGTTGTTTAAGTGATCACCAGTTCCCCGCAACTTGTTGTATTGTTGCAGTTCTGCACCTGATTGTGCACGGGTTAACGGTGCACTTTTGAGCAAAAACCATGTGAGATTCGGAATGTCGTTTCATACTACATTTTACAGAATCCCTAGCAATCATTCCATGCCTAAGCCCGATTGCAGTTCTGGGTTCGATTCTAATCCCCAATCGACCGGTGTGCCATGCTGATCATACCGTATGCACCCTTTGACTTGTGGGGAGGGGGAAATCAAAATAGTTATCGCATACGCATCTCCGATTTGCAGTGCACTGAATGCTAGTCATTCTAGAGTGATCGATAATCGGCTCAATTTTGTCGATTATTTCTGTGTCAGAATGTGCTTATTCATCTGCCACGCGATCAACATATCCTGATCATATACATTGCCACAACAACAAAAGACCACATAAAGTATAACACACAAATACGATTGACCGAGTGACTGGAAATAGTTAGCATTTGTCGATGAAGCATCATATATTCTCGATTGGTTTGGAATGTGATAAGTTGTGGTATGACATAGAGAGATCGATAAATTTCTCTACTTGCCAAGGATAAGTTTTTGTTTTTAACAAGAATGAATTTGGAAGAAACATCCTAGATTGGGTCAGCGTGGAAGCAGAACTTGGTATTTATTTTTTCTGGACAACTTGCGATGTGCTTAATAGAAAATCGTGATTGGTTATTGTACCAGGGTAATATAAACGATAATAATAATAATACTGTAGAAGTATCCGACCATCAGATGAGCCTAATTCTTAATCCCTGACCTGATATCAAATGACCTCACCAGAAGAGTTATTTCTCAAGTTATTTGGAACTATCACATACATACGCCTGTTGGTAGGATGATGTTGGATCATCTCTTGCCGGATCGTAGAAACAGCATGACGTGAAAAATGGTGATGGGTTATGGGACAGGCCGATTCAATTGTTCCGCCTACGTTCATGCACAACTCTCCTAGTATTACTAATACAATTACTATGACATGAATGGATTACCAAAGACACGGACATTTTCCGCGATTTAGTTCACATTCGAATCAGCATCCGCGGCGTGCATTTGTTTTGTCAATCAACATTAAATACAAACTAACAGAAAGACAATTTAATGTCTTACGGAAATGCATCATGAGAAGTGTTCACTCCTACCCCCCTTGTCCATTTACACTATTTTGTTTGATTGATTGATTCACGCTGGTCAGTTCCAGTTACCGAACTCGACTGTCCTGATTCGAACTGAAAAGTTCGCCCCCCCCTCCCCTCCTCCGGGGGTACAGTCCATCCTAATGCGCTGATTGGATCCATAAGACAGTTGTTTTCTCGCGTGTACCTACCCTGGTGATGTTTGTCTTAAATCCGGGGGCATAGTTTTAAATAACCGGACTGTTGCACAACCATTTCGGATCGCATTCAAGATAGTCAAGTGATTCATGCGAACACTGCTCAAACCGAATTTGTTTTTCAGTATACGAAAGCGGTAATAGAATCAGGATTGGTTGTTCGTAAAATATTCCCTAATCAATGCTTTATTACTACAGACATCATGGGAGCCACATGATGAATAATGTGGTCCAGCCGAGGTCTTCAAATTCAGTTACTTACCTAATGTGCATTATAAAAGGGGCCCAGTTAACCGCGCCGGCAAACAGAGGTCGAAATCAACTAGTTGTATTAATCGTGACACTAACAGGTCTCACTATCGAGCATGTAACTGATAAACTGGCTTAGTGAACTGAGAGGCTAAGTTCCAACCTCATTTCTGGTTAGAGCTCACAAATCAAAGATCGAATTCTCTCGGCAATGGACAACTGTTTCGTCCGTGCTTATGTCTCTTCTGAAACTTGAACCGTTACATGGTCGATGGTGAACGCATTCTATTCTTGGCTCAATCAGATATTTGGATTAGCACACTGTGGAACAACTCACAACCAAGAAGATCAATAGTACCCAGAGCATATCAGCGATCATTGATATGGGCTATCCCAAAATGATATTCTAAAGAAATTGGTAATAGTCAACCGATTAAATGGCTTTTAAGTAACGTTTGTACAAAGAATCGATTGCTAGTAGGGATCGGTTTAAAATTGTGCGCGACTGGTTGTTTTAACAACCTAGCTCTAGGCAAATAAAGCATTGGTAATGTCACATTGAGAGTAAGAGGCAGTTGGCAAAAAACGGTGTTTGAGCATCTTTCAACCGGCCAGTATGATTCATTGGGGCTAGTAGAAACCATATAGGTTCCACAGGCTTCAGAATCAACGAGCAATGAGCAATGCCGTTCAAACTAAACCAATGGGAGGCAGTAAACGGCAGGGAATATTAAACGGATTTTATCATTGGAAGTGAGAAAAGAATACTTCAGTCGATAGTGATTCGATTCTTCTTATGACGGTAGATTTGCATCGAGTCTTGCTGAATTCTTGTGAGTCCTGTTCGGATCATGAAGAGTATCTTATGACAAAATTTACTTCCCGGCTGAGACTACTTATTCAAGAATAATCTCACACACGAAAAAAGAGCTGATTTTGAATGTAGAAGGTACGGGGGGCTCTTGGCTGTTTGGATCACGAGCACGTCCGAGATGATTCGGACGATAAACCGAAGTCCATATGACTGGAATATACGCGTAGGACAAAGAAATGACACACAGCGCGTGATCAACGCCCCAACTGGGACTAGTGTTGGCAGCATGTGTTGTCACGTGACATTACGCCATCCCATTGTGATTAACCCAGCGGGGGTGTTGGTCTTGTGGTGTCTTCTTTCACAGTCACCTTGTGGTTGGTTGAGATAAATGGAATGGGTGGTAGTGTCACTGAACGCCCCCATATTCATTCTCACAAAAATCAAGCAGTTTTATGCGGATGAAACCGTTGGTCTCAGATTCTAGATGGAACGCAATATCTGAGTGTCATTTATCACGCAATTGCAAATGGAAGCGAAAGTGAGTTTAGTCAGACTCTGTTGGTTGGATGTAAGCGTATTCCCATTCAGTGCTGTTTTTATTCCATTAGTATGCAAAAATTCAAAAGAGTGGATGAGCGGTTAAAGTCTTTGGCTCAGCTCCCCGGAGAATGTATGTTCGAGTCCCCCGTTTTCAGGGTTCCAGTCCAACGGGTTTTGTCAGGAATGGTGTTGCAGCTTGCAGACTCATGGGATGACCAGATCATTCATTGGGACTAAAGAGTTAGAGCAATTAATTAGTGGATGTTTTTACGAAGTAAAGTGAGAGACAAACCTAGAATCCCTAGGGAGGGCGAGAAAAAGGGTGGAGAAAAACGGCGGTATAAACAGTAGTGAAAAAATACAAGTTGAGGAAATGATTATATAATAAATGGGTGGAGGGTCCCAGGGTCAGGTGCTTTCAAACTGTTCAACTTAGTCCCTGTCCCCTTCAAACACCTTACACTTCCTAGCCTGTGCATGAAAGCTGTTGTCAATGTGGCAGCAATGACTTGATTC